TATAATATATGTATGATATGTATATTGTATGATGCCTGATATGTCTGATATGTATATTTTATGATTGAAAATTATCTGTGCAATTTGTGCGTCACTTGACAATATTGTGTTTTGCATAACATAATGAGTTGGAGGTAATATATGTATGATATGTATATTGTATGATATGTATATTGCCTGATATGTATATTTTATGATTGAAAATTATCTGTGCAATTTGTGCGTCACTTGACAATATTGTGTTTTGCATAACATAAGTTATTAATTGAGTTGGAGAGTTCCTGTTTTAAATTAATATTTGATGTTGCATACATTAGTCGCGTAGAATTAAAACACTTTGATAAGGCGGCGAAAATTCTTGCTCGTCGGAAAGACGTACATTGCTTGGAGGTAGCATCTGAATTAGCGTTTCTAAGCGGTGACGAAGGATACGGTATATCTTTAATTGTGGATGCGATGACACGTGCTCTTATCAAATCAGATTGGTCGAAAGCACGTTCTCTTATCGCGGGTCTCCGACAGATTCAGGTAAATTATATATATAAATAATGAAAAATTATATATGTATATATAATTGTAGAAATTAATATATATATCAAATTAAATTAATTGGAAGAATGGCAATCAGAGCTAGGCGCGGTAGTTGGAGCGCAAACAGTTTTTTATTATGTAATATTCTATATTTTACATCTAATCACCCTCTTAGCCAAAAAAGAGGCACTATCATCGGTCTCATCGACAAAGTATTCCTGTTATCTCATCCTATGTTCCACCGTGAGAATATCGAGTTGGTTGTTGAGATTCTATTAGATAATGGATATCCCCTCAGGTTTATCTTCCGCATCTTGCATGAACGCCTTAAATTATATTCATTCTTTTAATAATACAATACTTAGTGGAGAACCTACTTCCTATTTTACCATACCGTTTGTCCCTTCAATATCGGAACAATTTAAAAATATCACCAAAGACTTAAACGTTAAACTTTCTTATCGGAGTCTGAACAAGTTAAACACACTTATTAAAGTGCACAAGGACTCTTGCCCTCAATCCTCTCGTCAAAACGTTGTATATAAGATCAACTGCACGGATTGCGATGCTTCTTACGTGGGACAGACTAAACGACAGTTACACACTCGCATCTCGGAGCATAAAAACCATATCCGAAGAAACGCTAACAACCATTCTGTAATAACTGACCATAGAATAAATTTTAATCACGAATTTGATTGGGAAAAAATCACAATACTTGATAATGAACCCCATTCACGCAAACGATTGATTTCAGAAATTTTACATATAAAACGACAAAAGAATAGCTTGAACTTGCAAACCGACACGGAATGCTTACCCGACATATATATTACAGTTTTAGACAAACTTTCAAAGATTTAAGGAGTACATCTCAGTTTTTTATTTGATTATATTAGATCTATATGATTAATTATATTTTTAAGTCATATGTTTATTTCGCCCGATTACTCTTGTAATTCGAGATCGTCTTTTTATTTACAATAACAATGTCACGCCGTTTGCTGTTTGTATGTACTTATTGTTATTGACTCTTTTGTTTTTTCTCGTCATCTTGTTATGCTCACCATCTATCATTAGTACGTTGATAATCGTTGAGCCTGGTTCTCCTAATTTATACAATGTATACTGTACTTCTGACATCGCCTTTGCGTGCGGAGCGTGGATTTTGTGAGTTGCTTTTTAATATTCAAGCTTCAATGTCACTCTCTCACACCATTTGTTTAATCCGTCTAACATTAAATGTACATATTTGTACAGATCAGATTAACATGATCACGGATTTTTTTGGTTAATCATCCCCGAATGACTTTAATACCCAGGCGTGAGCTTCCACAATATATATATTTAATTATTTATAAATTTATAAAACACTAAAAATTTTTTGTACATCTGTATGCAGTATTTGAACGTCCATATAGATGCTCACGAGGCGATTATGAGCACATATAAAAAACAAGCTGAGCTTGATACAATGCGGAGGTGGTTGGAAAAAAAAGAAAGCCATGGAGTGTTACAAACTCTCGAAATGAAATATAATGCTTCTTACTATGACACCTTGTGCAAGAATGAAAATATCAATGCTATTCTGAAAAGTGAATCAAAAGATACAATGGTGAGAGAGAAACAGAAATAAATAAAATAGATATCTTTTCTCATAGATAACATTTTCAATATTATAACAATATTTTCGATATAAAATTTTTATATGTAACAATAATACACTTATATAATTAATTAAAATAATGTTTTAAGATGCAAGTGAAAGCTACCTTTCGAATAGCTATAGCGGCTTCATGTGACGCAAAAGAGACTCGATTGAAACATTTAGCAACAGTATTAGGTGACGTGTACGAGTGCGAGGAAATAGCAATCGGGCACGGAACGGCGACGAATGAAAAATTCTTCATTCAAATTCTCGCGAAAATGGATATTAGAAAACCAACGGATGAAGGCAGCATCTACGCGAAAAGCGATTATCCCGTGTCGCAAAATATACGCGCTTATTTATGTATCGGTCTTCTGAATTGGTTGCTAAATTATGTGGATCAGCTATTAATCGAGGAGGAAACACAATTTACGCAATTGATATTGGATTTGCTGGGCGATGCCATAAATGAAACAACCTTATCTTATCAAGATAAGATTTATGAACTTGGTCAACTGGAAGATCAACTTTCGCTCTGTTAGTTTTTCCTTTTTCAATTTGTGGCATTTGTTATAGATTGAACTAGCATACCATTACATAAAGTTTTGAGATTCATCAATTTAATAATATTTTTCCATCTTTTACATGTAATTTATTTTAAATATTGCAGTGACATTGGATGATGATGTCGAAAATGATGACGATTGTAAGAGAATTAAGAAGGAGATCGAGAAATTGAAGCTTGATGGAAACAAGTTTAGGGAAGAACGAGTTTGCATGCCGAATCCCAAAATCGTTTTCGATAAAGCTTGTTTACTTGCCAACAAATTAAGTGATATTAATCGACTTCTACTTTTACATTCTTTAGATAAGTTAGTCAAAATAAAAGAAATAAAGCTACCTGAACTAGAAGAAAGTCCGTCAAAAAAGCTTGAAAATATATCTCGAGAAATAGACGAAACTATATTGAAACAATATAAAATAGAAATAAATAGTTCTATTAGTTCACATAAATCATAAAGGAAGAATATATTAATAGTTTTATACCATCATAAATGACATCAGGTGCATTACAAATTACTTTTATACATTCTCTGTATGTAAATTTGATTATTATAAAGTGCATTTTATAAAAATACATTTCTTTTCTATTAAATGTGAAATTTTGTCTCGGAAAATGTTAACCCTATTACAGATGTATCATAACAATTACGATTTTTCCAAAATGATTAACTTAAAGAAATATTGGAGAATAATAAAAGAATTATATAACTGATATCTCTTCTATAAGTTATTATATATGATATAACATCATCTCTTAGATATTTCTTATAGAGTTCAAAGATTTCTCTTTTTATGTATAAAATCGATTGTTTAATGTATCTTAATTTACGTTCACTCTCCAAAAACATAGTTCTCTGTCACTTCCGGCACAGACATAAGGCAATTTATAGTGCCAAGTCATACCGCCGACTAACTTCACTTTCCCACACAATATCACTTGTTTGGATTTAAAATTGAAAACTTTCAACAAGTTATCTGGCCAACCAATGCTCGCGACCAGATTTTCGTTCGCGTGTGAGAATTTCACTGCTAAGCCACCTTCTAGATGAAGCGTTCGCTCGTCAAGGGGACGGCTAAAATTGAAAATGAGAATAAAATAACTTCAACGAAAAAAAATTCGCACGCGCGTATTTATAGAAAGTCAGAGTGTCTACTCCCTGGAAAAACATGGAAAACCTGGAATTCTCAGGACATTTTTTTATACTTTGAAAAATCAGGGAATTTTGTTGGGACTCAGGGAATTTTTAAAAAAATTCTCTCTGATAATTTTGCTCTTATACTGTAAGCAGTAGACAATCTACCAATAAGCCATGTTATGAATTATATGTTTAAAATATATTATAAATATATATCTATCTCTGTTTATATATTCAATGTCTTAACAAAACATTAAATATGCAATACATATTTTTTATTTTAATTTTTAGTGACAAAAATAAAAATGTTATGCAAGTTAAAAAATGTTATCTTAACGAAAGCTATTCAGTTTTATTTTCAATATATTTGTAAATCTAGCACTTGAAACTTAAGTGGCTTTGTGTTTTTCCTTTGTATGAATAAAAAATATAAAATGCGTACAATAAAAAAACTTATTTTAGGAAATCGCATCAAAAAATGTTTAAAATATTTTCTTTAACTGGAATTGTACAAAAATACCTGGAAGATCAGGAAGTTTTCAGGAAAATTTTTTACAGGGTTTGAGTAGACACTCTAAAAAGTTTTTGAATTAAATTTCTTTTTACCTCGGTCTAGATACGTCCCAGAGTAATAATTCTCCAGCAGCCATCGATACAACTTTTAAAGGATTTGGCGCCCAGTCTGCCGCAATCAAGGGAACAGCCCCAGAATCGAGAGACATAATCGCTTGTTGACTTCTGACATTGTACATACGTATTAAGCCATTTTTTTCCGCTACTAAAAGCTTGCCGGATTCTTCACTGTGCCAACATACGCTCGTACCAGGCGATGTCAAGAAAAATGTGGACACACACTTCTGATCCTCTTTAATCGCCCACAATTTACACGTATGATCATCGGAAACCGATGCTAGCAATTCTCCCTCTGGTTCATAAGAAATTGCATTTGTATAATCTTTGTGCCCTTCTAAAATCTTCAAAACATTTATTGTCGCATTCAATTTCACAAAGCTGTAAATCCATATAATTTTATAAATATCCTTACCTCGTACACATTGATGTCATTTAAATTGCTATTGTACAATCTTATCTTAAAATCTGCACCAGCAACACAAAATGTAAGAATCTTGGGAACGACACTCAAGGAGGTTTCTGGACTCCATGCGATTGCGTGAGGTCTGGTATCATGGTGAAATGTTTTGATAGGATTGTACGCTATGTCCTCCACAGCGTCATCTTCATCCTGTTATTTAAAATTTATGTATTAAAAACTCTGTATAAAATTGTATATATATAATATTGCAATTCCATATAACATTCCCTTTTAGAACATAAAAATATTCTCATTGACATATACTGCACTCTGATCGGCAATTTCCTGACAGAATCACAAAATAATAATCAAATCGCCAGTCTTTGCACGAACCTGAAATCTGACAGTACCGACGACAATTTCCTTGGCGAGAGCGATGCAGATCAAATGCTGCGACCATTCGTACGGCGATAATTCCACGCAGTAAATTCGCTCGAAAAAATTCCGTTTAAATGTAGGCGGTGTAGTGAGTGCCTCGTCCATTCTCTCTTTCTGTCAGTATGCATGTACGCGTGAAAACTGAACCGGCATAACCTTACATAACCTTTTACAAGGCGTACCGCGTGTGACAGATTAGGTTTGTTCGCGTTGCTTGAACTTTTTGCACTCAATATCTTCACTTTCACTCTCTTCAACATCCAACGGTACGTTCGGAAACAGCACCCGAGCATCGTTCTATCTTTGTTCAACTTTTAATAAATAACAAAGATAGAACGACACTCGTGTACACATGGGTGATGTTTCCGAACACAGCCCAAATATATAGATTTGTTCGCGTTGCTTGAACTTTTTGCACTCAGTATCTTCGCTTTCACTTTCTTCAACATCCGAATATATATTTATCTCGTTTTCAGTGCAGAACTTTTGGGGAATTTTAAGCAACGCGAACAAATCTATTAATTACGTATCGTAATCATAGGGTGCGTTCCGTTTCTCGCATGATGCGCATAGGAGCGCACGAGATCGTTCCGTTTCAATCCATGCGCAGTTCATGCGCGCATGGGAACGATCTCCCACCACCAGGGTTGGGTAGATATTAAATTGCTTCGCATTGCTCCATCATTATTTTCATGATTTATTGCATTTTTTATTGAAAATTAATAAATTAATCATTTCCCTAGCGACGCCGTTGTCACCTATCGGCCTCCTATCGGAACTATATAGCTCAGAAGCCAACGACGAGAATATTATAACATAATATAACATAAAACGATTGCTCCTTAATTGCTTCGCATTGCTCCATAATTATTATCATAATTTATTGCATTTTTTATTGAAAATTAACAAATTAATCATTTCCCTAGCAACGCCGTTGTCACCTATCGGCCGCCTATCGAAACTATATAGCTTAGAAGCCAATGGCGAGAATATTCAAACATAATATAACATAAAACGATTGCTCCTTAATTGCTTCGCATTGCTCCATCATTATTTTCATGATTTATTGCATTTTTTATTGAAAATTAACAAATTAATCATTTTCCTATCGACGCCGTTGTCACCTATCGGCCGCCTATCGGAACTATATAGCTCAAAAGCCAACGGCGAGAATATTTCAATTTGATAAGACTTATCTTATCAAATTCTTATCTATTTTTTGTAAGGCATTTGTTAAATTTTCTAAAAATATAGGGTTATGGGAATGTTTGAGAGTGTAACGATTATATCGATAAAGTAAATAGTAAAAAATCTTTACCTGTTTGATCAACGAGATATGTTTTACCGACAATGTAAAGATTTACTTACCTACAGTAGTGCAGCAAATTTTTTTACCGGAAATAAGTTAGCGCTGGAAGTTCATATTTTTTAATAATTTATAGCTCAAACGATTGCTCCTTAATTGCTCCGTCAGAATCCACAATTGCTCCCCTTTTAAAATTAGTAGTTTTCGAAATATTTACAAAAAACGTAAAATTTATCATTTTCACTCAAAAACATATTTCCAATAGTTTTTTGCAAATATATCCAGTATAAAACGATTGCTCCTTAATTGCTTCATATTTAAGATCGTCTTAAGCCCGTATCAGACTACGCATTGAAGATTGAGATTGAAGATTGAAGACTATGGATTGAAAAATAAAGATTAAAGATTGGAATTTGACTAATTGGAATAAAAAAAAGCTAAAATTTCTTTGACGGCGTCGCTAGGGAAATTATTAATTTGTTAATTTTCGATGAAAAATGCAATAAATCATGATAATAATGATGGAGCAATGCGAAGCAATTAAGGAGCCATCGTTTTATGTTATATTATGTTTGAATATTCTCGCCGTTGGCTGCTGAGCCATAAAGTTCCGATAGGCGGCCGATAGGTGACAACGGCGTCGCTAGGGAAATGATTAATTTGTTAATTTTCAATAAAAAATGCAATAAATCATGAAAATAATGATGGAGCAATGCGAAGCAATTAAGGAGCAATCGTTTTATGTTATATTATGTTTGAAAATTCTCGCCGTTGGCTTCTGAGCTATATAGTTCCGATAGGCGGCCGATAGGTGACAACGGTGTCGCTAGGGAAATTATTAATTTGTTAATTTTCGATGAAAAATGCAATAAATCATGAAAATAATGATGGAGCAATGCGAAGCAATTAAGGAGCAATCGTTTTATGTTATATTATGTTTGAAAATTCTCGCCGTTGGCTTCTGAGCTATATAGTTCCGATAGGCGGCCGATAGGTGACAACGGCGTCGCTAGGGAAATGATTAATTTGTTAATTTTCGTTAAAAAATGCAATAAATCATGAAAATAATGATGGAGCAATGCGAAGCAATTAAGGAGCAATCGTTTTATGTTATATTATGTTTGAAAATTCTCGCCGTTGGCTTCTGAGCTATATAGTTCCGATAGGCGGCCGATAGGTGGCGACGGCGTCGCTTGGAAAATTATTAATTTGTTAATTTTCGATAAAAAATGCAATAAATCATGAAAATAATGATGGAGCAATGCGAAGCAATTAAGGAGCAATCGTTTTTTATGTTATAATATGTTTTAATATTTTCGCCGTTGGCTTCTGAGCTATATAGTTCCGATAGGCGGCCGATAGGTGGCGACGGCGTCGCTTGGAAAATTATTAATTTGTTAATTTTCGATAAAAAATGCAAACTATTGGAAATATGTTTTTGAGTGAAAATGATAAATTTTACGTTTTTTGTAAATATTTCGAAAACTACTAATTTTAAAAAGGGAGCAATTGTGGATTCTGACGGAGCAATTAAGGAGCAATCGTTTGAGCTACAAATTATTAAAAAATATGAACTTCCAGCGCCAACTTATTTCCGGTCATTTTATCGTAAATTTTTCTTTCTGTTTTATTATCGACAATGCAAAGATTTACTTACCTACAGTACCGCGTGGCGAGTTTTTTTCCAGTAATATGCTAAATCCTATAAGACCATCGGTTTCTAATAATATCTCGTCGGTGTTTTCGATAATAAAATAATAACTGGATGAAATAAAATAACCGAATAAATTAAATAACTCGTGTAATTATCTTCCATCTAATCAAACGGCTGGTAATGTCAACATTCTTCAATTACCTCCGGGCCCACCGGGCCCACTTGATGGTCACAAAAGTTTACCCAGGGCTGACGGTCTTTAATAACATCTCGTCGGTGGTATTATACTCGATGTATTATACCTTGGCGTATAGATAATTCCTCGGAAGTCTGACAGCCATAAGAGAAGAAGAAGAAGAAGAAGATGTATTATACCGGGTTTCCTCCATGTATTATACATAGTATAATACGTCGCGAGTTCAACAATGTATTATACATATGATGTTCGAATGTGATTAGTTCTTACTCCTAGAACCAACAAATCAACATCGAGTGTTAACAAGACAATGCTCAACGGTTGTATCTTTTAAACGCACACATAAATTACGCGATTTGGAAAAACTAAAAAAAAATTTCGAAAATATGAGTCGTGGAGGTAGGCTGTGTCACAAATTTTGGGAGGAAATTTTGAAAAATATTATGAAGGCCAAAGACTTTTTGCATATTGTAGTTATTGCAAAAAAATCATAGGTCACAATGCCGAAAATGGATTAAAGAATCACAGTATAATTCCCTTTTGCACTTTAAAATCCTCTTGCACACGCGTCAACAAATTAAGCCTGTCACACACGCTTTTCCATAACTATAAGATTTCGACCAATCGCGTTGCTCTGGACCACCGAATCGAGCCTTAGAACATGTATTATACGTTTCCTACGTTTTCATACGTATTATACAGTTTCCTACACGAAAATGTAGAAAACTACTCAAAATGGCTAAATGACCCAACCCTGCCCACCACAACGCTGCGCCATGTTGTGCAGCGCATAAGAGCGCATGAGCTGCCTCAGGGTATCGATTCTATAATTTAAGGCTGCGGTCCGAAACAAGCTTACAGCGCTAACAGCATGTTCACAGCCGGTCCGGTTCACGCTCGCAGTGTTCTAATGAACAAAGTGACGTCATAGATATCATGGAAATCTATAGTTCACGTAACATATATTATAGATTTCCATGCGATCTATGCGCTCAATGCGTGAAGCCTATCACACACAAATCGGCATAGCTGCATATGCATAGCATAAGATCGTCTGGACCAATGAGCATGCTATGTAAATCAATATGGCGATTATATTTCGATGCTCATTGGTCCAGACGGTCTTATGCTATGCACATGCAGCTATGCCGATTTGTGTGTGATAGGCTTGAAACGGAACGCAGCCTATGCGTGGTCCATGCGCGAGAGTTATTTAGGCGGGATTGAGACTATCTGCAAAGTGGTACAAATTATAGGATTCCGAAATTCAAAAAAATGACTTTGAAAAAGCAACAAATTTATGTTGATGATAAATTGTGGATGTTCGACGTGTCCGATACTGAATAAAACTCCAAATCTAAATATATGTACACGTAGGCGGACACAACGGCGCGGCCCCTACAAAGCCTGCAAAGAATTCGGTTAATGCGTTCATCGATAAATGATCATGTATCACTTTCTATCTACGAGACCGACGCATTTCGAGATTTCGTTTAAAATTCCATTGCTTTCCATAAATATTAAAAATTGTATTAAAAAGACATTTATACCCAGACAGCACGAAAAGGCCAAAAGACATCTTGAAAATATTTAAAGAACGATAAGACATCTTTAAATCGTTTTTTAGACGTCTTTTAGGAATATGTGAGGTCTGAAAATATTTCAAAGTAGAAAATTCTTTCTAAATATTATATACAATGCTTGTAGAATACTTGCAGAAATATCATACATTTCATCTGCCATGTCTGTTTACAAACAGCCCAAGCGCGCATGGGTCTGTTCCGTTTCTCTATGCGCAGTAAGAGTGATGGGAAAAAGGGAACGAGTTAATGCGCTCATGCGATATGCTGCGTTTCATGCGGTTCATGCGTGAAACGGAACGCACCCATAATAGACATATAGAATGGACTGATGGCTTCTGCACACATCGGAAGGAAGTGAGAAAGAAAATCATAGTTGCCTCTCTCTTGTGAGTAACTGCTCAAAAGTGCGCATGCATGGCTTACCGGTTTGGTCCAATTAAAAATAAGGTTACATTACCCTGCCGAAAATGGTCGATTAAAACCGATTAAAACATAATCCGTTT